CACACACACACACACATGCACATTACACGGGCAACGCCGCTGGATTCAGCTCATTCCTCCCCATTTCCGCGCTGACTACCGCCATGCGCCACTGGATCGGCGCCGCGGCGTGGGGATCCAGCCCTTCCAACCAACGCACCCCCCTCGGCGAGCCAGCGCTCCAGAGGGGGGAGGGGCCGCCGCACTACGGGGCCAGCCATCCCTCCGCTCCAGTCGCTGGGGTGCCCAGCAGGACCTTTGCCGCCTCGCCGCTGCCCCGCGGGTTATCCGCCTTCCCGCCAGGCCGCATTGACGGCGTGGCAGCCCCCGCACTCGCCGCAGGAGCTGCGAGCGACATGGCGATCGCCTCGGGCCCAGGAGCCTGCCGCGTGGACGGCGAGGCGCGGAGCATGTGCGACGTGCCGACGCCCAGGTGCCCCATCGACTTCTGCATTGCCCTGCTGGAGCACCTGGCGCTTCCGGTCCAGGCCACGCCCGAGGCCATCAGCATGGTGACAACCGACGTGGTCATCCAGCTGGCGCCCTCTGGTCACACTCCAAACCACGGCTCCGACATCGCCATGGACTCTGACGACAGTGGGACGCCCGAGGCACCCATGAGCGCGGAGCCCGCCTCGCCGCACGCGATCTTGAGCGGCGACCTTGCCGGCCCAGGTCCCTCTCAGACTCCCGTGCAGACGCTGACCGAGGCGGTGCTCCCGCTGTACGTTTTCGGCAGCAGCAGCACCACCACCGGCACCTTCAAGGCCTCTGGCGACGGTGTGCTGCATGGGGTGCACATGTGCGAGAGCTTCGCCCTGCCGTACGTCACCTGGAATGCGTGCCTTTCTCAGTCCAGGACTTCGGGCCCTCCTGCCAAGCCCTCCCGAATTCCAACCACTACACCACTCCTCCTCCCCCACGCCCTCCGCGTCCCCAGGGTGTCTGCGCTGACGGCCGGGCCCCAGGAGATGACGGCACAGAATTGGTCACATTTGGTTCCACCCCTAGGCAGGACGAAGCATTGCGCTCCGACAGGGGTGGTTCTTCAGGACAGCGCGAGGGCAGTCAGCAGCGCCGCCGCGCCCAGCACGACAGCAGCCGGCAGCACTGCAGCCAGCTACACGGCAGCAGACAGCAGTCATACCGCAGCACCCCCAATGCTGGCCTGCAGCGGTGCCACGGCCCGCGTGACCAGCTGGCGCACGACGTGGGCACCCTGGTGGCGTTCTCGCTGGACGCTTCTGGTTGCACCGCCCTTACTGGCAGCAGCTTCGGCGGCAGCGCGGGGCTGACGGCTACCATCGGCGCGGACTGGGGGCTGCCGCGCGCAACTTTGCGCTTGCTGGACAGCCTCCCCGAGCGCGGCTACTCATTCATCCTCGCGCTGGAGCGCGAGATCGGGCGCAGAGGCCTCGAGACGAAGTACTGCAGCGCCGTCGAGGGCCATCGTGACGGCAGTTCACAAGAGCACAGTAGCCAGCAGCGCAATCACAACTCGCACGGCATTCCCGCTTTGACCTGCACGACGGCCGCGCGCGGCGGTGGCCCGGAGCACCGCGGTGAACCGAACAGCAGCCAGGGAGACAGCGGCGACCACAAGGCCCAAGGAGACCCGCTCAGCAGCATCTCGCATAGGCCACTTGACCGAGTCGACAGTGGCCAGCAGCACCACCGCTCCCAGCGCGACGACAAACTTTCACAACACGACTCTGTTGTGCTGGGCGCGATCCCCGTTGCGCTGGGCCTGATCTCCGTGCCGTCGCAGGTTCATCGCTTCCGCATCGAGCACGATGCTCACGATTTGCTCGACTTGTACGACGACCGTCAGATTCCGCCGGGCTGCGCTATACTGTCCGCGAGGGCCAGCAGCATCGACGCCAGGACCGACGCCTGGTCTGGTATTGGCGCCAGCGGCATCGGCGCCAACAGAGATCCCGGCACCGACGCCAGTACAGACGTTGGCATTGACTCCTGCGCCGACGCCAGCAGGATCGACGCCGGCACCACTTCCGGCGCCAACACCAGCTCCATCGACACTGGCGCTGACTTCAGCACCGACGACAGCAGCAACGACGCCGGCACCGAGGCCAGAACCGAGGCTGCCAGTATCGACGCCGGCGCCGACGCCGGCACCGACTCCGGCACCGACGCCAGCAACAACCCTGGGACCGACACCGGCACCGATCTTAGCACCGAGGCTGGCACCGACGCTGCCAACATCGACGCCAGCAACGACGCCGGCACCGACTCCGACGCCACCGACGACCCCAGCCGCATCGGCGACGGCAGCGGCTGTTGCATCGACGCCAGCAGCATCGTCTCCGGCACTGGTGCTGGCAGCGGCTCCGGCACTGACACCGGCGGCACCGACGCCAGCAGCTCCGAAGCCAGCACCGACACCAGCAGCATCGACGCCGACACCGACGCTGGCACCGACGCCAGCAGCAGCGACGCCAGCACCGACGCAGGCCCCGACACCGGCACCGACGCCAGTATCATCGACGCTGGCACCGACGCCAGACTCAATTACGGCACCGACGCCAGCAGTTCCGTGACCTGCACCGACTCTGGCACCGACACCAGCAGCATCGACGCCAGCACTGACTCTGGCACCAACTCTAGCACTGACTTTGGCACCGGCGCCATCGGCATTGACGCCAGGTTCGGATCCGGCATAGACGCCAGCGGCATCGGCGTCGGCACCGGCACCAGTACCGATTCCAGCACCGATGTCAGCAGCATCGATGGTTGCACCGATTCCAACATCGACGCCAGCATCACAGGCGCCAGCACCTCCCACACCAGTGCCCACAGCATCACCGACGCCTCTGGCCGTACCACCAGAAAGAGCTTTAGCGACGGTGCGAGGCACGATGCTCGCGACGGGCAGGACTTGTACGACGACCGCCAGGTGCCGTCTGGCTGCGATATTCTGTCCGCGCTGGCCAGCAGCATCGACGCCAGCACCGACGCCTGGTCTGGTACTGGCGCCAGCGGCATCGACGCCAAGAGGGACTCTGACGCCGACGCCAGCACAGACGTTGGCACCGACTCCTGCGCCGACGCCAGCAGGATCGACGCTGGCACCGATTCCGTCGCCAACGCCAGCTCCGTCGACACTGGCGCTGACTCCGGCACAGACGACAGCAGCATAGAGGCCGGCACCGAGGCTGGCAGCGTCGACGCGCCAGCACCGACGCCGGCACCGATTCCGGCACCGACGCCACCAGCAGCCACCTTGGGACCGGCACCGGCACGGATCTTAGCACCGAGTCTGGCCCCGACGCCAGCAACATCGACGCCAGCAACGACGCCGGCACCGACTCCGACTCCACCGACGATGCCAGCCGCATCGGCGACGGCCACGACTGCGGCATCGACGCCAGCAGTATCGACGCCGGCACCGGTGCTGGCAGCGGCCCCGGCACCAGCAACGGCACCGACGCCAGCAGCTCCGGCGCCAGCACCGACGCCAGCAGCATCGACGCCGGCACCGACTCCAGCACCGACGCCAGCTACAACCCTGGGACCGACACCGGCACCGATCTTAGCACCGAGTCTGGCACCGACGCTGCCAACATCGACGCCAGCAACGACGCCGGCACCGACTCCGACGCCACCGACGACCCCAGCCGCATCGGCGATTGCAGCGGTTGTTGCATCGACGCCAGCAGCATCGACGCCGGCACTGGTGCTGGCAGCGACTCCGGCACCGACACCAGCGGCACCGACGCCAGCAGCTCCGAAGCCAGCACCGGCGCCAGCAGCATCGACGCCGACACCGGCGCCGGCACCGCGCGGCAGCGACGCCGGCAGAGAAGCAGGCCCCGACACCGGCACCGACGCCAGCATCATCGACGCTGGCACCGACGCCAGCCCCAAGTTCGGCACCGCTGCCAGCAGCATCGAGACCTGCACCGGCTCTGGCACCGACACCAGCAGCATCGACGCCAGCACTGGCTCTGGCACCAACTCCGGCACCGACTCAGGCTCCGACGCCTTCGACAATGACGCCGGGTTCGAATCCGGCGCAGACGCCTGCGGCATCGACGTCGGGACCGGCACCAGCACCGTTTCCTGCACCAAAGCCAGCAGCAGCGATGTTTGCACCGATTCCAACATCCACGCCAGCATCACCAGCGCCAGCATCTCCCACACCGAGGCCCAGAGCATCACCAATGCCTCTGGTCGTACCATCATCAGGGGCAGAAGCTTGGGCGACCGTGTGAGGCTGGCAGCTCCCGTCGGCACGGACTGGTCGCTGCCGCGTGCCATTCTGCGCCTCGATCTTCACGGCCCCAGTCGCACGGATCGCTTGCTGGACAGCCTCTCCGAGCGCAGCTACCCATTCACTATCGCGCCGGAGCGCGAGTTCGTGCGCAGAAGCTTGGAGAAGAATTGCTGCAGCGCACGCGAGGAACATAGCGACGGCAGTCCGCAGCAACACGGCAGCCAGCAGCGTCATCACGACTCGCACGCCATCCCCGATCCGACCTGCGCGACGGCCATGCGCAGCGGTACGCACCACCGTGGAAGACTCAACCCCGGCGACATGGAGGTCTTCGTGACGACTCCGAAGGGCACCCTCACCCTCAGCATTTGGAGCAGCACTACGGTCGGCCACATACGGGCCCTGATTCGGGGCAGACGGGGCACCCATCTCGCCAAGCAGCGCTTAATCTTCGCTGGGAAGCAACTGCAAGATGGCGACATGGTGTCGGATTACGGCATCCAGAAGGGGTCGACATTGGACCTGGTCTCGCGCCTGCGCGGAGGCATGCCCGCCGCCGCGGAGGCCGCTTCAGCGGCCAGCAGCCCACAAGCAACGGACCGTGACCGCCCAGAGCAGGAGGTGACGCGCGCCAGCCCTCCGCGCCCGACGACTGTGCTGGCACGCCCTCCCGCAGCGGAGGGCCACGCCCGGCCCGGCGGGGCTTCTGCTGCGCCCGCCGCAGCGCAGGCGCCGACTCGTCGCGCCTCCTCTGCCCCGCCAGGCCACCCTGCCGGCGACGCCGGAGCGGCTGACGACGCGCGCGAGGAGCCCACACGGCACCCCCGAGACCACTTGCACCGCCACGGCTGTGGCCAGCACGGCCGCGGCCCGCCGCCAGCCCAGAGAACAAGAGAAGAAGGAGGAGGAGGAGGAGTGGGAGGAGGAGGAGGAGGCGGAGGCGGAGGCGGAGGAGGCGGCGGCGTGAGAGGAGGGCAGTACGACCAGGAGGACGCACGGACTGATGAAGCTGAGAGCGTCCCTGCCGCGAATGGAAGAAGCCCCGCCGCGAATGGAAGCTCCGCCGCCGCTGCCGAAGAGATGAGCCCCCCCGTTGTGGAGAGGGAGCCTCAGAGCGCCTCGCCGAGAGCATTCCGGGCCGAGGAGGAAGAGGAGGCGCCGGAGGAGGAGGAGGAGGAGGAGGCGGCGGAAGTCGAATTGAGGAGGGAGGGCGAGCAGCTCGAGGAGGAAGGCCATTCAGTTTCGAGACTCCCTGGGGCTCGGGCGATTGGTGCTGGCCGCCCCGCCAGCCCGCAAGAGCAGGGCCCGCCAGCTACTCTGCTTGCCTTCGCAGGTGGCAGCGGCGCCAGACCCGCCGACGCCGACGGCGCTCCACCCGAGCACCGTGGTGACGGCACCAGGGATTCGCGCCTCGCGGAGGTCCTGCTCCCAGTGCCCCCGCGCGCAGGCGCGAGCAGTACGAGCTGGCGCCTGCTCCAGCGCCTAGCCACGCCAGCGATACCGGACGGACCCGCTGCACGGGCACGCCCGGCAGGGGCTGCAGCCAGCGTGGACGAGGCCGAGCCCCATCCTAACGGAGCGGCGCGACCAGTCCCCCTCCTGCCCCCGGCTCGGCTGGCCGAGCTCAGCCTCGGGAGCAGCAGCGCCGCCGCGCCAGGAGGAGCCGCCTTGGTGGCCAGCCTCTTCGACATTGCCCGTTCCGGCTCAGATGAGCAGCCCGCAGCCCAGCGGCAGGAGCCGCCTCGCTCCTCCAGGCGACCACCCGGCCGGGCCACCGCGCCTGCAGTGCAGTGGTGGTTCGACGGGCTACGCACCACCGTCGCCTCCATCCGGCGGGCTGGAGCGGTCCGGCCAGATTTCACGTGGAGCAGCCTCACGAACCCCCTCATCTGGGGCACGGTCCACGAGGACGATTTCCAGATCTTGGTGCACCAATGCAGGGAGATGGACATGGGCACGGATGGCGTACGACGAGTGCGCGCTTGGTGGAACCAAAGGGGGGTGGACAACTTGGTCTCCGCGCACCGCGTGCTCTGCGCTCTAGCGGCCTTGCACGGCCCGTGGGCGACCTACCAGGGCGAACGTCGGCCTGTCAGGGCCCCCGACCACCCAGGCGCTTACATCCCCGACGTGCTGCAGGAGATCGTGATGGCCGAAGCCCGCGCGGGCGACCTCGCCATGATGGAGGCGTTCCATCCAGCTTCCGACTTGCGGCGCGAGGCCCATGGAGCCCACGCGGCCCTGCCAGCCCCTCCGGACTTTCAGCGGCCATTGGTGCAGACGCGCCGGGAGCTGCGGCCTATCGACGTCACGGATGTCGCAGCGGACGGAGATGAGCGGCTCACTGATGGGGCTTGGGGAGGTCCGCAGGTGTTGGCAATCGATTCCGACTCGGACGAGGACGCCCTGAACGACGCCGAGCTCCGGCAGCTTCCGCCAGAGATGCAGGTCCAAGAGCCTAACCCGGCAGCGGCTCGGGCGCGCAGCCAGATGCTCACGGACGCCTCGGTGGACAACGCGAGGGCGGCCGAAATCACCAGACTCCTATCTGGTGAGGCAGGCGAGGCCCCCTTGCTGGCGCGAGGCACCACCGACATAGCCTCTTGGCTCGCGCAGGCCATTTGGGTAACCTTGCCGTGCCACTTGTCCCAGCAGCTCCTCCCGGCCCTCGTGCGGTCGGCGACCAACGCCCAGCCCTTCCGGGATCTGGCGGAGTGGTTCGCCGAGCAAGGGTGCTTCACCCCAGCCGGGCTCGCGCGAATGTTGAGCGCGGTCTCGCGGATCCAGGTCGAGCCCTACGACCCGCTGTGCCCTGGCCAGATCGCGGAGTTGCTTCAGACGACGTATCTCGATCTCGACTTATTCACGGCTCTGTCGGCGGGGCAGACCGCCCTACGGCGGCACCAAGCTTCCACCAGCGAAGAGGCGGGCACAAGCCTGGCGCGAGGGAACGAGCACTGCACGGTCTGCCTGGAGCCCTTTGGCGACGGCGATGGTACGAGATGGCCGGGGTGCGGGCACCGCATGCACGCCGCTTGCATGCAGGAGTGGCGGAGGCAGCGAGCAGGCGTTCCACCGCCGCCGCGCGTCCGACCGCACGAATGGTTCCCTGTGTATTGCCCCGCCTGCCGTTTGCCATGGGCTGAGCTTGACGGCGACCCGCCGATGCCAGACGCGGCAGCATCACAGCCGGAACCCTCAGCCGCCCGCGACGAGGATGGGCTGGCATTCCCCGAATCTCGGGCAGTTGCGAACGAGGCAGGTCAGGGCGGCGTCGCCCAGCGTGCAGCAGCCGCGGAGTCGAGCAACGACCACGACCAGGCGGCGACGAGCGGCCTGGAGACCTCCCCCGTAGCGGCAGGCAGATCGTCCGGCGACTCCATGGACGACCGCCTGCCTGGCGCGCATCCGACGGCCCAGGGGTCCAGAGGTCCGGCGTCGGAGCCAGCGCTAGTAGCAGACCTGGGCGGCGACGGCATCACGGCCACCGACAGTGTGGCGCCAGCAATCCCGACGGGCCCCGAACCGGGGACAGCTGCTGCATCGCCTGCCGCCGCCGCGGCCCTCAGAGACGTGGAGCAAGGTGGCACGAGGCCGTCTCGGCCAGGCCTTGTCGGCGGCGCCCCTGAGGGCCCACCGGCCTCCGCGGCCTCCGATCGCGCGGCAGAGCCGGGCCAAGCCCCATCGCAAAGTCTGGCGGCAGGCAACGATTTCGCTGCCATCGAGGGCTACCAGCAGGGGGCGCGCCCGGCGACAGCATCGAGGCCCACGCCCGCAGGAACAGCGTCGCAGCCGACAGCATCAACAGCAGCAGCACTGACCTCAACAGCCGCACCGACGGCCATACCAGCAGCAGCAACCCCGACGTCAGCGCTAGTACCGGCAGCAGCACCGGCGTCCGCACCAGCAGCATCACCGACGTCCACAGCAGCACCGACGCCAGCTCAAGACCTAGCTGCAGCACCGACGTCAACAGCAGCACCGGCGCTAGGACGCGCACAAGCACCGACGTCAGCGTCGGCACCGGCTTCAGCACCGACGCCAGCACCAGCAGCAGCACCGACGTCAGCTGCAGTACTGACGTCAGCTCCATCTCCAGCAGCAGCACCGACGTCAACAGCGGCACCGACGCAAGCACCAGCTCCGACGGCAGCGCCCGCACCAGCAACAGCACAGACGACAGCACCAGCGGCGACGTCAACAGCAGCAATGGCATCAGCTCCGACTCTAGCAGCAGCACCGACGACAGTGCCAGTAGCACCGACGTCAGTGCCAGTAGCACAGACGTCAGTATCAGTAGCACCGGCGTCAGTACCAGCAGCATCGACGTCCGTACCATTAGCTCCGACTCCAGCAGCAGCGCCGACGTCTGTACCAGCAGCACCGACGTCCTTACCAGCAGCACCCACGTCCCTACCAGCAGCGCCAGCGTCAGTACCAGTAGCTCGGACTCCGGCCGCAGCAACGACGTCAGTACCGGCAGCACTGGCGGCAGTACCAGCAGCACCTGCGTCAGTACCAGCAGCACCGGCGTCAGTACCACTAGCACCGACGGTAGTACCAGCAGCACCGATGTCAGTACCGGTAGCTCCGCCTACAGCAGCAGCGCCGACGGCAGTTCCAGTAGCACCGACGGCATTACCAGTAGCACCGACGTCAGCTCCAGCAGCACCGACGTCAGTACCAGTAGCTCCGACGTCAGCACCAGAAGCACCGACGGCAGTACCAGCAGCACTGGCGTCAGTACCAGTAGCTCAGACTCCAGCAGCAGCATCGACGTCAGTACCAGCAGCACCGACGCCCGTACCAGCAGCACCGACGTCCCTACCAGCAGCACCGACGGTAGTACCAGTAGCTCCGACTCCAGCAGCAGCATCGACGTCGGTACCAGTAGCACCGACGTTCCTCCCAGCAGCACCGGCGCCAGCACCAGAAGCACCGACGTCAGGACCAGAAGCATCGACGGCAGCACCAGCAGCACCGGCGGCAGTACCAGTAGCTCCGACTGCAGCAGCAGCACTAACGTCAGTGCCAGTAGGACCGACGTCAGTTCCAGTAGCACCGACGCCAGCAACAGCAGCACCGACGTCAGGACCAGTAGCTCCGACTCCAGCAGTAGCACCGACTTCAGTACCAGTACCTGCAGCCCCCCGAGGAGCCGCGCCGCCGCCAGGCTCTCCCCCGCCTGGCCCGCCGTCCGCTTCGGCCACGGCGCCGACACAACCATCCCCGTGCCCTGGCGGCGAGGCGCCCCTGGTCACGTCGGGGGCATGGGCCCGCTTGCTGATGAGGCTGACCAGCCTTACCTGGCCGGGCGAAGGCCGAACCCGCCTCCCACCGGAAGTGGTACGAGTAGCAGTGCAGGAGGTCAGCCCCTACATGGTCGTGGCTGCGGGCACCCACGCGCTCGTGGGCACGCGGGACGGGGACGCCCTCGACGTACCATGCCTGGAGGACGGCAGGGACGCATACTACGCTGCCGCAGCTGGTCTGCCGAGCTCCGACAGCGCGGCAGCCGACGACCTCCCCCCGGCGTTGCTGGCCATAGGATTACGCCACGACGGCCTCCAGGCTCTGCGGGCCGCGCTGGCCGCTGCCGACCGAGCGGTGGACATCCTCGCTATCGCTTGCCGGCGGACTGCCTCGCCGGGCGTAGCAACGGGCACGGACTTGTGTCTTCTGGCGCATGCCGAGTGGGGAGCCCGGAACCTCGCGATGGCAGCCCATTTGACAGCGGTCGGACAGCCGCTGACAGATCGCGGCCGCGCCGTGCAGTGCTTCGCCCTCCAGGTGCCCTTGCGCCCCGAGCCAGCCCGCCCTCCTGTGGAGACGATCGTGACTTGGGCCGGAGCGGCCGAGCTGGCCAGCGAATGCCTGCACATCCTACTCCACGAAGGCCTGGACCCGCACGTGCACGCGGCCCTCCTTCGCTTCCAGGCTGCGACCAGGGCGCGTGGCCTGAGTATGGAGTGGGCCACCGAATCCCTCAGACCCGGAAGCGATCCACACCAGGCGGGGTCCCACGTGGCGCCACTCCTTTACCACGCAATCCGTGTCACGTCAGCGCCAGCGGCCCCAGACATCGCAACTTTGGGAAGTGCTCTCGCAGCCATCCAGCACCAGGGCTTCACCTTGACTTGGTGGCGGGATCGAGATACGCACCATGCCGTGCACATCCCGATGGCCCGCGGCAGCATCCCAGCAGCGGTGGCCGCAGCGGAGGAGCCCGCTCTCCAGATGGGTGGCCGCGTCGCAGCGCGGATCGATGGGCTGTTACTGCTGGACCTCCTCCCAGCAGTCACGGAGGGCGTGGTCCGTGCGGCACAGCTTGACCAGTGGATTTCCCCGGCCGCGCCGGCCAGCCGCATCCTCTGGGCTGGTGACGCCCACAGGCCGCGGGGGTTCCTCTCCACTACGGGGCCGACGGCAGGCCATGATCTTCTCTGGCTGGTGGTCACCAGAAACCAGGTCTCCGACGGGGACGGTCCGTGCGGCACAGCTTGACCAGTGGATTTCCCCGGCCGCGCCGGCCAGCCGCATCCTCTGGGCTGGTGACGCCCACAGGCCGCGGGGGTTCCTCTCCACTACGGGGCCGACGGCAGGCCATGATCTTCTCTGGCTGGTGGTCACCAGAAACCAGGTCTCCGACGGGGACGTCGCGCGCCGCCTGCAGGACCCACTGGCGCACCCCGTCCACGTCTCGACAGTCAACGCCCTGGACCCATCCACCGACAGGTTCGACAACATGAGCCTTGTTCGGGTCGCGGCGCCTGCGGCCGACCGCATGCGCATCCAGGTGGGGAGCAGCGGCCAAGTGACGGTTGCCGGGGTGCCTTGCCGGGCGTTTCCTTTTGGATCGACCCGCATTCGGACGCAAGGTCACCGCGCCCCGCGCACGCCTGACGCGATTCGCCAGCTCTTGGCGGCCGCGTCGCGCCCAGGCGCCGCGGCTGGAGGGCGCTCCACCACTTTCTCGCAGGTGGCACAGAGGACGCCCCTCGAACCCTCGGGAGCCGCTCTTGGTCCGGCGGTGCCCCGGCTGCTGGAGTTCCGGACGGGCCCATGGCCGTCGGGCGGCCAGGCAGATGCGGACAGTTCGGCAGACGTCTGGACGCGCATGCTCTTCCTCGGGACCGTGGTGCACGCGCGCCTCTGGGTGCCAGCGGAGCCCACCCGCCCAGCCTCCCGCCCCCCGCCGCTGCCGCTAGGATGCCAGGACCACTTTTCGCAGACTCTCCACTCCTCTTTGGGGGCGGGGGCCGCCTTCCGGCAGGAGGGCGGGGTCTCGGGCCTCAATGGCTGGAGCGACCACCTGCTTCCCGGCGAGCTCCTCCTCGTTCGCGTCGCCGCGGGGAGCCGCCTGCGCCTCCGCGCACCAGGGGAGGAGCTGTCGTGGACGCCTACGTTGCCAGCGTGGATCGCGGTGGTGCACCCCGCCGAGGCTGACGGCCGGGCCGCGGCTCACCAACTCGATGGATTCCTGCACGGGGACGTGGAGCTGGCCGATGGCCCTGTGTGGGTCGCCCGGCGCCCTCCCTCGGGCCCTGCGCTGGCGACCCGGCGAGCCGCGGCGGCGCCGCCGCCGGCAGCTGCAGCACCAGCTCCTACCGCCCCGCCTCGTGACCCCCGTACTTTCCGGGAGCGTTTACAGCACCTCGGAGATCCACCAGCTCCACCAGGCCCTCTCCCGTCGGCGTTGGTGGACCCAGCCAGGGCGGCCGCCCGGCTCGCGCTTCAGCCAGTCGCGGACACGCCAGCGGCCCGATATGCGGATCTCTTGGCGCATTGGCTGGTGGCCCACATCACGGCTTCCCAGCGCCCGCAACCCCCAATCAGGTGGCAGTGGGCGATGCTGATCGTTGCTTGGCTGCTGGAGGTGTTGGGCATCGCGCAGCTGTGGCAACAGGACGCCGGTGCCGCGGAGGACCTCCTCACGGAGCTCCAGATTGGCAGTCCTGCCCGCCGGCGCCAGCCCTTCGAGCCGTGGCAGCACGGGCGGCGCGGCGTGAGGCCAGGCGTGCCGCTCCCAGGCAGCCGGGTGCAGGACGCCGCCAGCGCCCGCAGACACGGGCACACCAGCTACGCACTGTCAGCAGAGGCCAGCGCGGCCTTGGACGCTTTGGTTCACGCGACGCTCGCTGCCCAGGCACCTGGCGTGAGCCCAGCGGCGCCGGCGGCGCCAGCAGCGAGCGCCGCCGACGCGGCCGGGCAGGACGGGCCTGGAGGGACCAGTGGAATGGACGTTGATGGCGCCACCCTCGGCGCCCCCGTGCCCTCCACTGCGCAGGTTCCTGCCGCGGCCGCGGCCCCTCCCCCTGCAGACGCTGCAGCGGGAGCCACCCCGCCGCCAGGCGGTGGCTACCTAAACGGTCGCCCGCAGCATGGACTCGTGCAAGCAGCAGCGCTAGCCTCCAGCGCTGGCACGGCTCCCCCTGCAGCGCCCGCCACCGGATCGCTCTCCGGCCCTTCGGGCGCGCTCGCGCTGCCAACTGGTGCTGCGGCGCCAGCGCCCGTGCTTCCAGTCTCGCCAGTAGCACCCGCGCCGGCAGCCGTTGCCGCGCCCAGGGCCGGCCCCGCCTCCGCCGAGGCCCCCCCGACACTGCCGCCACAAGGGCGGCCGCAGCTGTTTGCCCCGGGCCAGACTGCCCCCTTGCGCCTCGGAGAAGAGCATCCCGGGCAGCTTGCCCACCAAGGCGGAGCGAGGGCGTTGCATCTTGGTGCTGTTGCAGACCTTTCGGGCGACGGTCAGGCCCTCAGCAGTGACCGCAATGGCGGCGGCGGATCCGGCCAGACGGCCGCGCCGACGACCATGCAAGCAGCAGCACCGACGTCAGCGCCAGCACCGGCAGCAGCACCGACGTCCGCACCAGCAGCATCACCGACGTCCACAGCAGCACCGACGGTGGCTCCAGACCTAGCTGCACCACCGACAGCAGCAGCACCGGCGCTAGGACGCGCAGTAGCACCGACGTCAACGTCGGCACCGGTTTCAGCACCGACGCCAGCACCAGCAGCCGCACCGGCGTCAGCTCCAGCACCAACTCGGACGACAGCGCCCGCACCAGCAGCAACACTGACGCCAGCACCAGCACCAGCGCCGCCGTCACCAGCAGCACTGACATCAGCTCGGACTCCAACAGAAACACCGACGTCAGCACCAGTAGCACTGACATCAGTACCAGCAGCACTGACGTCCGTACCAGCAGCACCGACGTCAGTACCAGCAGCACCGACGTCCGTACCAGCAGCACCGACGTCAGTACCAGCAGCACCGACGTCAGTACCAGCGGCACCGACGTCAGCGCCAGTAGCTCCGACTCCAGCAGCAACACCGGCGCCGGCACCACCAGCATCGACGTCACGGAACCCCGTCCGGAGCACGCCGGGCACACCAGCAGCGCCCGCCGCAGCGGCACCAGGTGCCCCCCCTTCGTCCGGGGACCGCGCGGACGGCGCAGTTGCGACGGCGCCCCTCGGCAGCCGGGGCCGCGACCGAGGGCGCGGACATGGTGCTAGCGGCGCCGGGGCCCGCGCTGCGGCCCGCCGCCGCGGCTCAGCTGGCCCTGCCCCGCGACTGGCGGGAGTCCGGCGCCGATCCCCTGTGCCCGCCGAGCCGGGCCTCGAGGACGTCGCCCACGGGGCCTGGCCCCCCTTGCCTCGCCGCATGCGCGTCCGGCAGGCGGGAGCGGAAACGGCGGCACCTGGACATGACCGCGACCCCACGGGCCCAGGCGACCCTGCATTCCAGAGCTGGGCTGGATTCCTGGACCAGCCCGCCGTTCAGGCCGCGGCGCCCAGCGACACGGCCGCCGCGTTGCCTGCCCAGCTGGTCTGCTTGCTCTCGCTCTTCGACAGCCTTGGCATGACGCGCGTGGCGTTGGACGGACTCTTGCGGGACTTCCGCCATCCTGGATTAGCCCAGTCAGGCTTCGCCGAGGCTGACGCGACACTTGCCGCGGCGGTTGAGCGCAGCTGGGCCACCCAGGCTCGCCTCACAGGTACGACGCCTCACGTCAAGCTCGCTGGCGACATCTGGGACCTCTTCCGCGGGGCGGACCCTCCGCTGGCCCGCTTCGGCCGGGGCTTCCCGCCAGGCAGCCTAGTGCTGGTGATCGCCGGCACCCCTCCCCAGCAGCTGCATGCCGCGGGCCCGCACCAAGGCCGCCAGGGCCTATGCGGCGACGACTCGTACCTCTTCTGGACGATACCGCTGGTTGTCTGGAGCCTGCAGGGCCTGCGGCCCGACTGTCACGTTCACGCCGTGGTGGAAAGTGCAGCCACCACCCACCCCCTCCATAGGGCGGCGATGACCAGGGCCCTCGGCGATCTCGACGACGGTGGACACGTACTGGTGGTGGACTCCAGGGCATGGGCTCCTTCCCCGCGGAGGCGCCTTTACCTCAGCACGCTGCCGATCGTGCTGGATCCCAGCTTCACGCCTGTCCGCCGGCCGGCTCCCTGGGAGGGCGGCTTCGCACCCCACTGGGACGATGGAGGTACTGCGCCGATGACGCGTTCCACAGGGCTCGGGGATCAGATTCGGCACAGCACTCCCCAGTACCACCCGCGCACGATGCTATACGCGGCCGACGCGCCCTGGCGGCAGCTCACGCTGAACGACGTCGCGGCCCGATTCCGCCGCATCCTCCCCAGGCACCTCCTCCCCGCCTTCGGGCTCGTCCTGGGAGGGAGGTCGCTGGAGAACAACCTCGAGGCACAGAGATTCGCTTGTTGGGTGGAGACCCACGGCGCAGCCCACGGGGTGAGGATGCCCTCCCCCGCAGAGCGCGCGGCTGCCACGGGCCATGGGCCCTATCTCGCGGGGCTCGGACTGGAGGCCCGACAGTTGTTCGATGCGGTCGGGAGCCATTTGGACGTGACCGCCCTGCAGGTGCGGCTCCGCGGACCACTACGCGATTGGCTCCAGGGAAGGACAGGGCATCCGCGGGCGTACCACGCGCCAGCCGCGTTGCTCTCCCAGCACCGCCGGCTTGCTGCGGACGTGGACGGCCTTCCGGGCCCACCCCGCCCCACGCGCGAGTGGCCTGCACCGCTCGACCTGGTCGGCGACATGCTTGGCGCACGGCGACCCGCCCAGCGCCTGGCCGGACCTGATGCGGAGCATCCGCAGGACGGTCCTGCATCCGCTCCGGCCGCCGCACCCGCGGTGCCCGCCGCAGCCGGTCTGCCGGCCTCCAGTGCTGCGCACGCTGCTGCAGCTCACCCCCCAGCGGCCGAAGACGGCCGCCGCGCCCAGTGATGGATCCGGACGCCGCCCTCCTCCTGGACGCCCTCGGGCGGCCGCCTCCGGGCGCCCCACTGCCCCAGGCCCGCACGCGTGCTTGGGCAGCGGTCCGGGACAGGCTTGCGGTCGCTCTCGCTGCCGCTGGGGTGTCAGCGAGGGTCCGCTCGGCGAACGCCTTGCGGCTGCTCCTCCACAGGTCCCGGGCGCCGCCGGGCGCCACATGGGGCCGCCTTTGCGAAGGCCGAGGCCTCTCGCAACTGTTGGCCGCGCTGCGCGAGGACCGCGCGGGCGCCGGCCTCTGCCTCGCCGCTTGGAACATCAGGTGGCTGGTCGACCCCCACGCCACGAACAATTCGGCCAAGCGCCGGATGGTCCAGGGGTGGCTCGACGCTGGGCGCATCGTCCTGCTCGGGGAGACGCACTGGGGCGCAGCAGAGCAGGCGCTGTGGGCAGCCCAGTTTCCGCCGGCCACGGTCCACTCTTCTCCGGCACAGGTTGGGCCAGGCGGCGGAGCTACCGGCGGCGTTGCCGTGCTGCTCCCGGCGACGCTGCAGGCGACGACCGTTACGGAGCTAGTGCCTGGATGTGCACTGGCCGTCCACACGATCATCGCCGGCTCCTTGGTCCGTTTCGTTTCCTTGTACTTGCCGCCGGGCGCACAGCGCGCCACCCTGGCGGCCGTGCGTGCGGCTCTTCCTGCAGCCCCCGAGGTGGCCACTTACCTCGGCGGCGATGTGAACTTCCAGTTGCACGAGCCGCGGGACGGGGAGGAGGAGCTGGCTGCGGAATTTCATGCTCTTCTCCACGCACACGGCCTCACCGCAGTCACTGGCGCCGCGGTCACACGACGCGGAGCGCGCGGCCCTCCTGCTCAGCTGGATCTCGTGGCGGCGCCGCTGCGAGAGGCGTGGCGCTGGAGACCACATTTGGTATGGAGATTGCCCCTCTCCGATCATGCCGCTATTCTCGCCGGCCCTGAGGTGCAGCAGGGTACGGCGGTACGGGCTCTCACGCCGGCCACGTTCAAGGCCCTCCCCCAGGAGGCCTTCATGGACTTGCGGAGGCGGTACGCGCTGCTGGGGCGAGCGTTTGACCTCCCAGACGTCGACCTCTCAGGATTGCGCCCTGCGGCATGGGGAGACCGACCGGCGGGCCCGGAGGACGCGTTGCATGACAGGCTCAACGCGGACATCTACGGCACAGACTACGGCCCGCCCGGAGCCGACGGCGAAGGTGCAGCTGACCCGCCTGGAGGGGATGGAGGAGGGCGAGGGCGCAGGCGCCGTGGAAGAGGAGGAGGTGGAGGAGGAGGAAGACGAGGAGGAGGAGGAAATGCCGACGACGCCGGCCAGGAGATTCCTGCAAGCGAGGCCGACCTACCCGGAGGCGAGGGTGCTGGAGGGGGACGCGCTGCTGCAGCAGGAAGAAGAGGTGGAGAAGATGCCGACGACGCCGGCCAGGAGGTTCCCGTCCTCCCTGCCCTGATGCTGTATGGGCGTGCCGCCCTCTCGGCTATGCTGGCCAGCTGGTGGGAGGACTGGCGCAGGCGGCGCCCCCTGCCGGAACCTGGCACGGAGCTTGCTCGCGCTGCCGCCCGTGGTGGTACCCATGCGCCTTCTGGACCTACTGGCGAGTGGATGCGCGCCCTTGGTTGGGACGGCCGCGAGCTGAACCAGGAGGCGCTTGCCGTATGGCTCGCCTTGTGGCAACGGGAGCAGCACCACCACCGCCGAGCGCGGCTTCGGCCGTGGGAGCGCGGCGCTTCGGCGGCCAGGCCCGCGCTCGCTGAGCCCTTCCGCATAGGGCGCCAGCTTTTCAACCGCGTCCACTCACTCCGCGGTGTCCGCGATGCCCACGGCCGGCGGCACGACGAGCCAGCTGAAGTGGAGGCGATCCTTTGGGAGAATCGGGAACCGCTGTGGGGCTCAGCGCCGCCCACACCTGCCCGGGCCTCTGCTCTCCTGGATGATTATTTCTTGCACCGCGCGGTGGACTTGCCAGCACGCCCGCGGCCGCGCTGGCGGCGCCTTGCCTCCTTGGTG